CTGCAGTCTGTAAAGCCTGCAGCTGGTGAAGGTTGCAGCACCTCAGCTGAATGTGGGTGGGATTTTGGGTGGGAATGAAGTGGCACCACTGCATGGCCGGGATGCCGAGGATCTGGAAGTCGGACTCCTTTCTTTTCTTGTCTCCTGTCTTGTTCTCAGATTGCAATTTCTTTAATGGTAAGATGCTACTAGGAAAAGGCCCATCCTGCTGGATTTGGTAAGCATCATTATTTAACAGAAAAGAGATTTAGTTATGTAGGACTTTGGTGATGTTTGTTTAGGAGAAAAGTTAGTGAACAAAATGATCCATGAACTTCACTGTTTTCTTGATGAAAGGTAGTGAAAGGCTGTGATCAAAGCCTGACACGTGAGACACAGAAAGCAGTCCTGATTATTTTTCTGGCAATATTTACACGTTCTTGCTGCAGGTGGACACGAGTAAGCTCTGCTGTTCTCTAAGCCAGTGAGAAGTTACACCACTGCAGTGCCATGCTCCCTAGCAGGAGCTTATATGTTGAAATTTCAGTAGGGTTTATTACTTCAGGGCTGGAGTGATGTTACTGCAGCTACATGGCTTTGGCCAGTGCACAATACGGGCAGAACTGATTTGTCTCAGAGTTTGGGATGCTGTTTTTTTTTTTTTTTTTTTCTGGGTCGGGCAGCTGTTCAGGAGCAACTGGAGCAGGACACTGCTCCCTTAGTTCCCATAAGCCGCTCAACAGTTGTTAAAGGGAAGCCAAGTCCTATAACCTGCTTTTCTGGATTTCATTTGAATCATGGACACTTCTGTATCCAGTTACGAGGCTTTTACATCTGTTGATACTATATCCTCGTCGCATTTATCGTAATATAAACTTGGAATTATACATCAATTTAACAAAATTTGCTTTTCATCTAAAAGTGTTGTAAATGAGATGAAGCTTTTCAACATTATTTTATTTGTGTAGTCTCCATGGTATAATTCAGTGGATCTTACTCAAATTTCTTGTGCCTAGTAAAACTCATCAGTAGTTGCATTTGCCAGGATAGTCTTATTTTCTTCAGAATCATTTTTCTTAAACATAATTCAAGAAGATTTATGATCCCTTTTTGCATTTTGTCTGACTTGTAAGATTGTGGAATTTAGCTTGAAAAAGGAGTTTCTTAGCTGCCAAGTGGAAAAATACCTTCAGTGTATTAACAAAGGAAAATATGTTAAAAATATAGACAGCTGAGATTAGTCTGGAGCCATATTTATATTGGCAGTATGTGTTCACTCACCCAATTCCTAAAGAAAACTACAGCCAGAATATACTAAATTCAGCTAGCTATGCTGTTCACTTATGCTATTTAAGTGGTTTTATTTTCTGAGAAGTGTGTGCTTGTGTCCTAGACATAATTAAACATATTTTTGTTTGCTAAATATTACTCCAGATCCAGTATTTCTTATCAGACATTTCATGGTTCATAAGGGAAGATCAGATTCTCATTTCTAGTGATGGTGGTATGGTGAGAGGACATCAAAAAGCCTGGTGATTCTTCCATTCGTATGCATGGTTGAATATAAAGGTATCTAAAAGAATCTAAGAATTACTAGGAATATATCCATAGTTCACAGCGTTCACTGTTCTGCTTCTTGCAATAGCTAATGGATCTGCTTCCAAAGGACCATGCTCACCACAGTAACATTCAATAGAAAGAGATGGATATGCTTTAGTGAATCCAGTTTTTAATTCATTCTTGTCAAGAGACAGGTAGATAAATGCATATATGCTTAGCATTTGGCATGAAGAAAACTTAAGAGCTCCAGAGCATTTTATCTGTGATTTAAAAAACAAGCAAAAAACAAACCTTGGAGAGAAGAATCTGATGTATTTATATTAAGTGATGTGAAATCTTGGACCTTCTTGTGAATCATAGTTGTAATATAATACACTTATTTATAATATCCTCTTCCCTGAAAAAAAAGAGTCTACTTCTTTGGCTTTTCTCCATTGTTTGGAAAACTAAGTGATATTTTATTCACCATTTCAGTAAGTGATGCAACATGCTACCTTTTTCAACCCACAGCTTATCTTGGATATTGTACAATTGCTCCTAGCATCTTGTGACAGTATGGAGTGCAAATCTGGGACCATTTTTATCAATGGACTTTGCTTATCTTTAACTGGAAAAGTTATTATGGTGATAGAGCAGACTTTTCTTTCTACATCTGCAGAAGTAAACATATCACATATATGCACTGTACTTGGAAGGTGAGGTTTTAATTCTGAAACTAGATTTCTAGTTGTTACCGAAATAGATATAAATAGGAAATGTGCATAAAGAATTAGAGGACAGTGTTGGAAATGGGGTTGTGCTGGTTTTTATGCTGAAATTGCCTCAGATCAGTGCCGCCTCCTCCGCAGACAAACACAATATGCACCATTTGAACGTGTAATGATCCCGTCGGTAACTACATCGCAACTTGCTGCTTGCCTAGCAATCTGCAAGTGGGAAAATGGAATGAATCAACAAATCTCACAGCAGTTTGGAAGATGATAACGCAAGCAGATTGAGCTTCCAGTTACAGAAAGGATTCTGGTGGAAAACTGTGGTTAGATATTCACATGACAGTCTTGAAAAATGAAACAGATGCAAAATTTGTGGCAGGATGTAGAAGGCAAAGCTAGGGTAAGGAGAATCATCTCTTGGGAATATTCCCAACAGAAAGACATCTGGTCTAGGATTAGAAATCTGGACTATTTCATCTGAATTATTTTAAAACATTTGTAATGTATCCTCTTGGCGATCTTCAGCTTCCTTTAGTGTTTCTTTTATGAAAGGATTTATTTTTCCTCTAAGGGTCTCCAATGTTGTGTGTGGGGTGTTTTTTTTTTTTTCTCTTTTCTCTTTTGTAGTTTGCACACAGCTACGTTGCATTTAATGAGCATCTTTGCCGCCCATATAGTATAATTCACAATGTAGGTAGATTTCAGAGCCTAAATCATCACTGATGGGTCTACTGAATGAGCATAAATCAGAAATAGGAGTAGAGCATTACCAAAGCACTGCTTCATGCTCTTTTGGTCATGTAATTTCACTGTGTTCTAAATACATGTTTATATATTTAAGGGTTTATTTTTAATATGTACTTAATGTACTTCTATAAATATAATTAGGTCTATTGACATAATTCTTTCATTTCTGTAAGTTTCATAAAATGTTCTTTACTAGAGAGATTTCCTTCATGTCTAATAGCTCTCATTCTTATTGCATTTTAAGCCTGGGACTTCAGGCTTAATCCATGCCAAAATTCATCTTTCCTCTTTAGTCTAATACTTTAGCAGACTGTTGCTCTGTTAATTCATATCATATGAGGAGGCCTGTGGGAGTCCCCTGGGTTTTCTTCAGAGATGCAAAATACTTCTATTGCTACTAGCTTGCTTTCCTTACAAGATTTCATATTGCAGTGTCTTCTCTCTAACCTCAGATGGGACTACTTGGCTACATGCAATTCAAATAGAGATGATAACAGAACAAGAAGGGAGGAGCAGAGGTTTGCAGTTTTTCCTCTGCAAACTCTGCTCCAGGACTGATTAGAACCTCTGTAGACCAAGTACATTATGGGCATGGCACACTGGGCTGCTGTCAGGCCTGATTTCACCTCCCTATCCTGAATTAAAATTACTAATGTTGCCCACACAACAAGAGTATCATTTATGAAGGGTTTCTTTACTGTTTTGATTTGCATCAGCTTTTAAAATGTATTTTTTTATCTTTTTTGGCATATAGCTCCGAAATATATGTTGATGCAGCATAATTTCTTCATTGGAGTAGATTGCAGTGCTATTCTTTATGGATATGTTTAATTTCTGAGCTGTGGTAGGTTGGCACTGTTATTTTTCAGTATTTTTTTGTGTGTGAAAGTACTGAATGAGCAAGCTTTCTGCTGCATCATGTTTGCAACGGTGAAATGGGCAGAGCCTCAGCACTGCGTTTCATGGGAGAAAATAGGGGAAACGCGCCATCTACAGTAACTACCTCGGGTGTGTACTTTAGTTTTTTTTTTTTTTTTCTTCAGCACATGTTGTTTTTCAAAGCACATGTTGAAAACGGAGTAAAGAAGTTCTGTAACGAGGCAGGAGAGTAAAATGTTTAACCTTGCTTATATCGCCACTTTTCATACGGAAATGGGTCTGTTTCACCCCCTTAAGCACAAGCAAGCTGTTTCGAGAAAGGGGAAGGTGTTTTTAGAGGGGAGACTTGGAAACCTTAATGGGGCCTTAACATGTACAAGGCGAAGGATACGGCTAGGTTGAGGGGGAGGATAGGGCTGACTTGCACGTGTGAAGGTAACCGCTTATACCTGCTCTTCTATTTTTTTTCTGCAGGGGAATTACCTGGACTATCCTCTCTGGCCCTACCCCCTCCTACAACCAGCCCCAATTACTGAAGATACAGGATCAGACAACACCGATTAAAACGAGCCCAAGGCGACCATTCCAAAAAGCCTCGTGACGCGCATTTCTGTCTTATTACAACTCCAGCAGTCACTGCTGCAGGGTGGCAACTAGGATTTTCACACGGC